CAGTTGAACGATGGAAATCTCGAACTCGAACCTGCGGATTATTTTGGTCCTAAGAGTTTCGTGCAACCAAATACTCGATCAGTTCGGATCCCAGTTGAATCCTCGGAAATCTACGATCAATTTCGAGCATCTCGAACTCGAACCTGAGGAATCTTTCGATCGCAAGATACCACTATGAAGGACTCAGAATGGAAGATCAAAGAAACACGCCTGATCCTTCGAACAATCCGATCCACGGTGGATTTCACAGCGAAACGGTGTGGCACCATGGTCGATCGAGAAAGCAACAGAGAGACGCGAACAATGTCCAGGGCGTGTTCGTTTGGAACGCATTGTGCACCGAGATATGGAGGAAAGTGCAGGTGGATTCCGGCTTTCTAGCGGTTTCAGTTTTCGATAGACCGGATCGCGGAACCTAATGAATATTCACGAGCCGTGAAACCGAAAGGAAAAACGCAGTTGAGGGCTCGTTAATGTTCCTCCTCGAGTCCACCCCCTCTATATGTAGAAAAATACGGAAAAGTCTCTACACGTGGTCGTTTATTTATAATGCGATGATCGATGGTTTTTTTTTTTTTTTCGTTGTAATTCTAACTAGTTTTATTAACCAGCACATCCATTGCTGTTCATTTGTGCGATTGTATTAAGTGTAACGATTAATTATATTTTGTATACTGACTTCGTATTGTGTGTGTTACTTTGTTCACTATATTTTTTTTCTTCCTTGTTGAATTAATTAGACTGTTTTCGTTTGGAGAAAACTGGATTAGCTTTTTTGGTCAGACGTCGAATTTCGGTTGGAAGTTCTCGGAAGGAACGCGCCGTTAGGAGAATTTAATTGACCAGCCGGAGGTATTGAGCGACAGATCGTACGAGCTTTGATGTAATTAAACGGAATCGGGTTGACGATCGTTACTTCAAAAGGCCAATGAAAGTTTATTGCGCAATTATAGCCGAAAGAAATAGCCTGCTGGTGAAGGAATGTCGTCTAGAGTGTTCTTTCGTTCGAGAAACGCTTTTCTGAAGTGACAGCGAACGTTTGATTGAACGTGTCGGACAATTTTAGAATTCATTTCTGGCTGGTTCTGTCGTGGAAAATTGGACGGAATTATTTGAGAGCTGTTGGAGAGACATTATACTCGAACTTATCATATTATATTGTTTTTTATTTCGTCTATTACTTCTTTTACATTTGACTATAGTCGATTGGAAAAAATGGTGATTTTAAGGTTGATCTGGGAAGGATGAAATTTTTCGTCGTTTCAAGATTTCGAGTTGAATTATTATTTTTGTGGAAAGAATATGGAAAAGAAGAATTGTGAACCTTTCATGATTAACACTTAGATTGGGAATATTGCGGAATATAACGAATCGTGTGATTCTATAATTGTCAAGTGTGACAAATTTAATTTTGAGTTGAATTATTATTTTTGTGGAAAGAATATGAAAAAGAAGAATTGTGAACCTTTCATGATTAACACTTAGATTGGGAATATTGCGGAATATAACGAATCGTGTGATTCTATAATTGTCAAGTGTGACAAATTTAATTTCGAGTTGAATTATTATTTTTGTGGAAAGAATATGAAAAAGAATTGTGAACCTTTCATGATTAACACTTAGATTGGGAATATTGCGGAATATAACGAATCGTGTGATTCTATAATTGTCAAGTGTGACAAATTTAATTTCGAGTTGAATTATTATTTTTGTGGAAAGAATATGAAAAAGAATTGTGAACCTTTCATGATTAACACTTAGATTGGGAATATTGCGGAATATAACGAATCGTGTGATTCTATAATTGTCAAGTGTGACAAATTTAATTTCGAGTTGAATTATTATTTTTGTGGAAAGAATATGAAAAAGAATTGTGAACCTTTCATGATTAACACTTAGATTGGGAATATTGCGGAATATAACGAATCGTGTGATTCTATAATTGTCAAGTGTGACAAATTTAATTTCGAGTTGAATTATTATTTTTGTGGAAAGAATACGGAAAAGAAGAATTGTGAACCTTTCATGATTAACACTTAGATTGGGAATATTGCGGAATATATAGAATCGTGTGATTCTATGATCGTCAAGTGTGACAAATTTAACAGGCTTAAGATCTGTATTATCCTATTAATTTTGTTCTGTTCCTTTCTCTAATGAATATAACATGGATTTTAGGATTTATATGGATTCTAATCGTAAATCTTGTTAGACAGGAAAATCTCCGAGCTGTATCTGTACATTTGCTAATAACTACTTTTACTTAATATTTTAATATAATTTGATTGAAGGTTTTATCAAGAATCACTAAAGATTGTAACAGTGTTGCACTCTTGATTTAATATGGTACCTAATTAGAGCATTTATTATAATCAGTATTATAATAAGTTCACATAATTCGTTAATCTCGTAAGTTACCAATTACTAAAACTATTGTTGCCTCCAATCATCTCTGACAATACTTCACTGCATCAAATTTCCACTCTCGTGTACTTTAGTAATCAGTAATCACTATTTTCTAAAATTTTTTCATTTTTAAACGAAAAATCAGTAGAACCGTTTAATTAATTCTTCAACCAATACTTCAGGATATCATCATTCTCCAATTTCTTTTAATTCTCAAGCATGCAAAATCTCCCTAAATTTTTAATCACCAAAATCATTACCATATATATCTAATTTAATAAAAGCTTCTTACAAAACTCATTGTCATAATATTTCAACCCTAATGTACCTCAGGAGTCATTATTCTATTCTTTCAATTCTCAAGCCTACACAATCAAACTCTTTACTATATAAACTCATGCAAAGTCTCCCTAAATTATTAATCACCAAAATCATTACCATATACATTCAACCTAATGAAAATCTCTTATAAAACCCATTACCATAATATTTCAACCTTAATGTACCTCAGGAGTCATCATTATTCTATTTTTACAATTCTTAAGCCTACAAAATCAAACTCTTTACTACATATATCACCTCATACCTAACTATTAGGTTGTCCGGAAATAAATTACGGTTTCTATACATGAGATTTAAAGACGTGTAGTTTTGCTTAGAATGAATTTATTTAATTTAGATTCTATACACTTTTTCCAACGTTTTGCAAGAGTTCCTATTCTGTTACAATGAAAATCAGGAGTTCTAGACTTAATAAATTCCACGAAGGTATTTACAGCATCCTCTTTATTGCGGAAGATTTTTTCTCGCAAAAAGTTATCCAAATGTTTAAAAAAATGGTAATCTGTAGGGAATAAGTCGGGGGAATAAGAAGGGTGTTTTAATGTTTCACAACCCAATTCGTGTATCTTCCGAATCGTGAATTGTGATACGCGCGGGCGGGCATTATTGTTTACCAAACTTGCTTCTTTAACAAATAACTTTTTATGCATTATGATCATTGGTTGTGCTTTCACCGACTACACGATTGATATTACGGCCAGTTTCCGCGGCTTTACGTCCTAATTTAAATTCATATAAAAATATGGTACGAATTTGCTTCTTGTCCATTGTTACGTTTTTAAGTTATACTCAGAACAAATGACGGTAAAAAACAAAATTGTATCGTTTATATGATAGAGCGACGTCTACGCGTTCAAATGGTATATTACTTAACCCTTTGCACTCGGAGGTCATTTTGTAATAGAAAAGTTTGCGAATCGAATGTTTGAAATTTTTTTAAATTAACGCAGTAATAAACTATACTATTGTACTTAAATATTCAACGTATTCTCTACTTCACTATAATGAACAAATTTATAGAGGCCCCATAGATCTGCTCTCTGACATGATTAATTATTCACCAAGTGACGGTTGTTTAATGTCGCTTCTCAGTCACCACTCGATTACAAAGGGTTAATAAACATAAATCTAAAATATATAGTATAGAAAAGCCCCAAATATGACATAACAGAAAACCGCAATTTATTTCCGAACAACCTAATAATACCAAAATTTGCTCAATTAGAAATATAGTAAACCCGGTATTACAATATCTCAACCCTACTACCTGACTCTAACGATTATTAACCCTCGGAAGGCGAATGGTTTTAGACGAATGCAGGGTCATTTTGACCCATAGCAAGATTTCTATCGTACACGGGTTTCAAGAAGGAATTGTGTATAAATTTGTATACTTCCAACTGTATATATTTCATACTTTTCTTGTTTATTCACATTTGATAGGTAAAATAGGTGTATTTCCTGTACCAAAACGTAATCTGAGCGCGCCTGACTTTATCGCTGTCTAGTCAAAATGACCCTGCGTTCGTCGTACGAGGATTAAATCAAGCAAAGACCACCGAAAAGCCCTTCGAACAAACATCTCTGACATAACTCCTACAAACGAAAACCACGTTCTTCACAGGTGACGCAGACTCGATTGTAGGTGCAACAGCGACGATGCACCAGCTTCAGAGTAAGGTGGGGTAGCGCAGGCGTGAAAGTCTTTGGTTTCACTTGTCTTCCAGGAGATCTACCTGCACGGTAGCAGAGTAGGAGAGGAAAACAGCGTGGTTCGTGGTTCACGAGGCTGCTCGAACGGACCCAGAAGCGAAATCGTGCTCGCGCCGCGCACAATGCGCCTCCTCGATCGACCGGAAACGGACAGGCTCGCTCGCGAACAAGAATCGAACCTTCGGTAACACGAAGTGCAACTTTTATGGTGCTCCAGTGTGACACGACATTCCTCACGAAATCCTTTGAATTCTTCTCTATTCGATTCACAAGCGTGCTATTCAACGATCTTCGGAAATTCGTCACTTCGTATAGAAAATACCGAAAGGAAAATACCAACTTTGGTAATAAAAGTACCGGAAGAAAATAGTAAACTCGGTGTCAAAAGAGAAGAGAAGGAAGAAAAGTACTAAGGGAGAAAAGAGAAGAGAAAATACTAAACTTGGTGTCAAAAATATTGAAACGAAGAAAGAAGCTTTTGGCTTTTGTTTCTGATAAGTATCAAAATTGCCGAAAGGATTTTTCGAAGAGATTGCAAGATGAAAGTGCCGGCAGAGTCGTCGATTTATTGGGACTCGGTCGGTTCCCAACATTCCACTTCCGTTGGAAGCTCTGGAGACGCCTGCAGTTCCGGAAGTGCCAGCAGGCACTACGTCGACCCGTGGGACCTGGAGAACTATGCGTACCTGCGACGTCACAGCGTCGCTGGTTTGACGCAACAGGCGTCGAGACGCCATCGACGACCAGCTTACAGGTTGACACAGGAGGCACGTGTTCACTCTGAGTACTGGTGAGTGATCGTGTCTATTCTTCAGGGTTAATCTTGACGTTTCGCTGTGACTTCAATTGGATCAGACCGATGTTACGTATTGCTAGCTGTTTGGTTACGTTACGATTCCCCCGTAATTAATTCTACATTTAATTTGAAATAGTGTAACAAATAGTGTTTTACAATAATTTTTTTAAATTCGTGTAAACAATAGTGTGATTAATTTAATTTACAGTAATTGTTGAATTTGGTACCAATTTTTCATAGATTTGAAATTAATGTTTATTCTATATTTTCTTCAGTTTTCTTTATTCTAATATTTATATTAGCAATTTATTTCGGTTGGGTAAATTTGGGTAATAAAGAATTGATTGAAATTTTACTATTAAGACACTTGTGTAGCTACCAATGCACAGTGGTTTCAAACTTTTGACCAAAAATGCGTGTGATATTCTTTGATTCGGTTGTGAAGAATTTCTGGAGAATTTGGAAGAATTGTGACTCAATTTTCCAGCCACTTAGGTACTTTGAGTACTTCGAGTGAGTTGTTTAGTGAATTAAAATCTGTTTACGAGGACAGATGATCTGTTTCATGAAAATAGAGAAATTATGAAAGAAAATTTGTAATTAAAGTAAAGTAAAATTAAAATTAAAAGTAAAGTAGAGTAAAATTGAAATTAAAAGTAAAGTAAAATTATTTTACTTGCAACTGAAATTAATCGAAGTTGTTTGGCTACTTTATATGAGCTGTTTGGTGAAGTAGAGTTTATCTACAATTAACAAATCACTTATTCCACGAAGATAGAAGAACCATAAATTGAAGCATGTTGTTTTTCCTCTATTAATGAACGAAGAACAAAATTAAATATATTTGCTAGAGAGAAAGTGACGAGGAATTTATTAGAATTGCTTTTAAGTGATTGCACAATACTTTTTCTGTTGTATTTATGAAAAGAGAAATTAGCGAGAATTACATGGAATAATGAAATGTTTTTATAGATTAGATTTACAAATTCCTGTACAAGAAGTTCAGATAAGAATTATTTCTGAAAAATTTTCTAGATTCTAATGGTTATTTCAGATATGGTAATTTGGGCACTGACCGTGTCCAACGCAGTTTAACTTCGGTGATCTAACGTGAACCGGTGCTTTCCGCGTGGTGGAGCCGTTGGCCAGCTTGGTATTAAGAAGTTACTCTAAAATATCAATATATTCTCACTCTAAAAAGACAATGAAATAAAAAAATATATAAAAAAATTGAACACTTCTAAAACTATTTGCATCTACTCTTACAAAGATAAGAAATTAAATTACAACTCGAGAATAAATTGATTAATTAATTCCTTCAGTTTTATAAAAAATTTCTCTAAGCTATGTAGAATTAGCTACCAAAAGAATTCACCAAACTTAGCTAGAAAAATCACATTTCTAATTTAGAATTTTCATATCCACCTAGATTTTTAAATTACGAGATAAATTTCATTGTTGTTTATTTACTAGGAACGATTGGTTCGAAAGGGATTGTAATCTTTCGCTACATCGAACCAAGAATGTTAATTAACCAGCAAGGTCAGCATCTCGAATCTAATGAACTGAATCTGTACGCCTAATGATATAATGAGACCTCTTGTTACTACTCAATGCACACAAAAATACGATAAAACTTATTTAACAAAAGGATCCAAATTTATGCATCACACTTTTTTAATTTAAAGAAAAGAAAAAGAAAGGAAGAAATTGATAAAAATTCTGAACTGGTAATAGCCTACGTGAATATTCCATAAAATCGACAGAGGATAATGACTTCATAAATCACGCTTGAATTTCCAGGAGCGAAACGCTGATATAATCGATCTCGATTCGATTGCATAAAAATGACTCGCGAGCATTGTTTACAGGCGTAATATTTTTTCCTCGATCTTCTTTTTTTCACCGCTTTCTTCATTTACAGTCTGTTCAACATAATATATATTTCTTCTTCTTTTTTTTTTTTCACGGCTTGCAATCTGTTAGAGAAAGATTCGTATCTATGGTTGCAAAGTAGGGCAATGTGTTCCTGAGCGCTGGCTACCGCGTGGTAATATTTATTGAAGTAAAGCGCGCCTTCGCTTCACGAGGCAGGGAAACGCGGTTTTCGAAACGCTTGTTTTATTTTGCACGCTCACTTCTGGTATTCCGGGGGAAAAGTGCAATTCTTCTAGAGAGAAAAATAGATATCGGAGGAAGAATTAACTTAATTGCGGTTGAGATTGTATTTGAAAAGTTGTGATATTAAAAAAAAAG